ACTACTTCAGGTTTGATGTGGAAGGTTCCCTGTTGAGGTTTTGTCCACAAGTAATGCTATGGAGCAATGTGTTTCCGATTTGGTCCTGCTGATAGTTTCATGCTATTCCACTGAGTTGATAGCACTAAAAAAAGGAAGACAGGCTTGCAAGTAACATATATATATATATATATATATATATATAAAAACTCACTTTTTGTCATCATTTTTTGAGAAGTGTCAAGTGGTTCAGGATGAGATATGAACAGAGGTGGAGGACGAACGCTGAAGCAAGATGATTGGCATGTACAAACAAGGCGCCTGGACTAGATGGGAGCATGTGGAACATGACAAGACCATCTAGACAGAGACCTTGTGTTGACATCGGAGTCTACAAAGCAACTGGTCCTGCAGGAACTTATCGTCCCCTAGAAATAACGAATTGAAGAAGCCAACCAGCGCAAAAGGTCTTAATCAGCATATCTTGTGACAGAGTGCAGAGAAATGGCTGGAAAAAGTTGAAGTTGGGTGCCGGGGCCTTGCTGGCCATACATTTCAGTGAACTCTCAAACTGCTTGGAGTAAAAGGACTGTAGTGCAGAAAAGCCACAAGAACATTCTGGAGGCTGCTGGAAAGGCCTTGCTGTGGCTGTGGATCTGGAGAGGGTCCCGTGGATTACTATGTCACTTGGACACAGGTCAGGTGCTGATCACCCCCTGGGTGAGGATGGTGTCTGATGATTAAAGACCTGAAACGCCCTATGACCCCAGATTCATCACGTGTGCAAGTAGTACCAGAAAGTGTAATCTAGAACCACAACTTGTGACCAGCTTCACCTGGTTGGAGCATATTTAAGCTGGGAGGTTTCAGGATGGGATGACAGATTTTTTGACAGGGATAACGCATATTAATAAAATATGACAGAGTTAGCCAGAGAGGCAAATTTTCATTAGTAGTCCCTGGGCAAGCAATAGTTAAAAAGACACAAACATTAAGAATACATAAAAGAATAGAAGATACAATCAACAAGAATGCAAGTGGAAATATAAACAAAGCCTGCGCTACATAAAGACAAAAAGGCAAGCTCATAGGACAGACAAAATCAACACTACCATGTCAACAAACAGCAAAGAGCATGTAGCATGACAACAAAAATCAACAAATAGCAAAACAGCAACAATCAACAAATAGCAAGATAACACTAATCAACAAATAGCAAGACAACAACAATCAACAAATAGCAAGACAGCAAACAACATGAAAACACCTCACTGCTCTAGTGTTCACAAACACTTTCTCTCTCAGCTGTCTTGGACGGCTTGTGCCCTTCAGACACCCAACCTAGTTTTGTTTGGTTTTGAACTGTGTTTAGTTAAGGCCTCAGTTCTTGTTACAGGTAGTTTAAGTTAGCTCTTCCATTTTTCCTGTCATCCAACACTTAAACTACACTACTGATTGCTGACTTCATATGTTCTAGTTTGCTTAGGCTGGGTCGAGTTATCCTTAATAAATTTGTTTCCTTAGGTGGTTAGTGTGTGGACCTCCCTTCTGTTGCTGAGATGGGCAAAATACTTTGATGTCTATTCTGAATATGGCTGTACATGCCCCGATATTAAGCTTAGATTATAAACGACATACCACAAATTTAGCGTAGTAAATTAGACTGGAAAAATTACCCTTGATATCTTTTTCAAAATTCCCAAATGAGTCAAGATCTAAACTATATATGGAGACTGAAAGACTGATTGATGGATACTGATAAAAACTTCAATCTATTACATTCAAACAATGTGATATCGAATATGACAGACCTGTGATTGCATTAGACTAGATCACAATTACTGATTCATCCATTTACCCAGAGTATGTCTCGCCATTGTGAGACTCACTTAAGAATATTCAAAGAACATCTCATTTTCTAATATCAAATTGAAAAGTGCTTTATTGAAGACATTAACAACTCTCTCTAAATTCTTGAGCTGACACACCAAGTTAAGTCTGAGGACTGGTAAAAGAGCCTGGGACTAGGGGCACTCCCACAGCAGGGGAGCATAAAGTGAATCATTAAGGGAATAAATTGGTATAAATGGACTTCAGTGTATGTAGCCATTACAAAGCAAAACTAGACACATGTATTACATATATTGTTTTACTTACATGACATGAAAAATCCAAATGACGTTGAAAGTAAGAAAAACCTTTTCGTGACCTACACTATAGTTTTTGTTTACATTATTTATGGATTAATGTATTGTTTTAACAGAACATTCAATTGTGAATAGATCTGACATCGACAGTACATCAGAGATTGAGAAACAAGACTGAAAAACCATAGATAATTTAAATAGTAGCCATCTAATCTGTATGAATTTAACTTGGCTGCACAAGCTATCATGCAGTATGACTGCAGCTTGTAAGAAATAAAACCACTCAGGGTCCACAGAACTGGGATTAAGAGCCATTGATCTACAACTCTATGTTTTCTCACTAAACAAAAGGAGGTAATGAAAAAGAATAAATGAAACATGGACCAGGTTGACGTGATCTGATGTCTTAATTTCTGTATGTGTGTGGCTGTGCTCACATGCTACAAACAGCATCTGTGTGCCTGTTATTGGTGGGCTATTGAAAAAAGGTGTTGAACCATTTACACACCTGCCTGGACATGCTGAACATTGACTGCACATCCAATCGCAAGTTTGTGCTGCATGCAATTAAACACACATTACTGCTAAAGGCCACAAAGGTTGCCAAAGCCTTATCTTTTTTCTTTCAGTCTATTTCATCATATTGTCTTCATCAAACTTTACCAATTTGTTGCTCTCCCTTTCTCTAAACTACACTGGCTGTCTGGTCTTGACATGATTCTAACATTTTTCATTATTTGCTCTGCAGCACTCACATTCACACAAGCCCTAAGACGGGATAGTGCAGATAAGTTGTTAACTGCCCCCATCAGTTACCTCAGGGGACATATACTTGACTGGCCAGAGGGATCTTCCCTACCCCGCTGCACAGTTAACCACAGTCAGTCTGGTGACTGAAATGGGACTGGGTGCTCAACCATGCATGGCTAGACTGGCTCTCTTACAGGGATATGAC